ACGCCTTTAAAATCTTTCCTCGTCGCAGACTTCGTTTTTATTTATTCTTATCTGTCAAGCCGGCGGGTGCGCGGAGATAATAATAAAAATAAATAAATATGAAAACATGCCAGAGAAAGGGTTAGAAATGGAAGGCATAATGGGGGTGGTGGGTCAGTGGGGGGCATCTCCTCAACAGGGGCTGGATGCCGATAAGTAAATAAAAGGCCGAGTATTTAATGCTGAAAAACCGAAAAGCTGTTTTCACAAGATATTCAGTAAGCAGTTTTTTTTTTGCATTTCCAGTCAAATGTAAGTATAACTAGTTCTTAAAAAAAAAAAGTTGCATGGACTACAGCTAACACCGGCTTAAATCAAATTGTGTTGAGTTGGCCTGTTCAAACTTTATTCTACAGAGAGACAAATCCAGAGAAAAAGAGAAGAGGTGTCACTTTACTTTATGTTTATGAAAGCTACAAAAAAAACACTGCACTGTTTTTTTGTTTTTGTTTTTTTAAAGTGAGCAACAAACACAGCAGGATGCTAACTAGCTAAACCTTGATTCTGACTGCGCGGCGTCTCTCCGAGTCACGCGACAAGAGAGATGAACTACACCGTTGACCGCCGACGGTTTGGAGGTTTTGCGCAAGCGGTCTTTAACGGCGCCTGTGGTTCATGTGGCAGCTGCGCGGTCTGCGAACTGCTTTATAGTCATGTGCCGCATTAGCAACAAGCGCTATTGACAAACGCATGACATCATGTTAGATTTGTCGAGACGTCGGGGTGCAGGCGGGTTTATTGGCGAGAAAAGAATCCAGACTGAAAATGGAATTGATCCAAATGTTCGTGGACGACGAAGACCTTTCTACCCATCCAGTGTAGCTTCCTATTTGTCTACCGAGCGACCGATCTATCAGTCCACGCTTGTGTCAATCTCTCACCCTACCAAGTAGCCAATTCCATGTCTCAATGCTCTCTTGATAATTCAATACAGAACAGCACCTCTTCATCCAAATGTGAGTTTGATCAAATTGCACGTTTAACGCTCCCTTTCTTGAGAAAGAAGGTTATTATCCCGTCAAAGCCCAATTCAATAAGTGCAATTTCACCCACAATGGCAGAGGAGTCAAATAAGGCCAAAAGAACTAAAGGAGGAGTTAAAAAAAAAAAAAAAAGTTGAATACCAAGAGTGACCTGGTGAATGAAATGTGGCGCAGCACGAGCGGCATCAGCATTCCGTCGCCCTAATTGATGGCAAAGAGTACCGCAGTGCCCTTCAGGTAGGAGGGGAAAAGGGCTGAGAGGATTCGGCTGGTCCCCAGGCGCCGCGCGACCGCGTCTTTGAACTCTTTGCGGAGTGTATGTTTATCAAGAGTGGCTGGCCACGTTGCCATTCCGTCACACACACACACACACACACACACACACACACACACACACACACACACACACACACACACACACACACTTGATGCGCAAGGTCGTCCTCGTAAACGAGTCGGGGCAATAAAGCGGTAAGCAGGTTTCTCCCTTCGCTCTCATCTTAGCAGTCTCTATTCAGGCCCATCCATCTCTCCGCTGCCGTAATGGCATGAAAGCAGTTATGTGGGTCGCCCTATTCGCACCCCTGGGCTATAATTCACCATTTTCAAGGGTTAGCGCCGTCCACACGCTCCCCCCTACCCCTCTTGCCCCCTTCTGCCCCCCTCACGCGCGATTGCAAAACCAAAAAAACTAAGATAAGACAATCTCCAGTGGGAATCAGATGGCCAGTCCCGTTCGCCATAAAAGCTATTTATGTTCATAAAAGCGCTTTAATATTTCCTCGGGTTGCAGGTTTATTTATTTATATATATTTTTTAAGGTTGTTATCTTAGGATACATGGAATAAATCTCCTGGCACAGGAGCATTTTTCATTTGCTTGGGATGACCGGGACTCAACAGTGGGTGAAATGATGAATGGCTCATAAAGCAGCAACAACAACGCGGCTGTATGGAACACAAACGTGATTCAACAAAGATTAACCACACAAGCCGTAATTAATCTCGCGGAGAAAGAGAGAGAGAGAGAGGGTAAAATGGGCCTTTATACGGACAAGTCAAGCTTTACACACTGTCCAATGCGGTCAAGCTGTTGATCCGCGTTTATGAATGTGCGAGGGCGCCCCGTCTCGGTGGCCGTAAAGCAGCTGGAATCTATGATATGAGCCTGTCTGCAGTCTGCGCTGGTGGTTTGTTTAACTACGGAGTGCGGTGTTGAAAAAAGGACCCAGGGGGGCTACTCACTGTCCCCCCCCCCCTCCTACTACCGCCGCCCGTCTGTCTCGTTTCGCTGGGCAGGAAACCGCGGCATACATTATGCAACGTCTTCCTCGGATGCACATTTCGCATGCTGATGGGTAGCGTACGACGGGGGGCTGGTGGGAATGGAGTGAAAAACACAAGTACCTGCAGGAAAGGTCGTTACGATGAAAGAGACACCGCCGACGGCCGCCGAGTTGCGGTCGTCGCATAATCGGCCTTGCGCCAGAATAATTCTGGGCGGGATTGGAAAATCAATGCGAGTGCACGGACGCTGCGGCAGATGCTGCCCCCACGGGCTAAATAAGCGACGTAAAAGAGGCTCCAATGTATGAAGGACTCGCGGCGGGGAAAGGGGGGGCGCTAAGTGAATTGATTCGCGTTGCACTGCCCGTGTGGTCGGTTGAACCGATTGCGATGGAGGCTCTGAATAAACTTGAAGAGGTCAATTAAGATTGGAAAATCCTGCCGATTGGACGAGAAGTTCAAGAAAGTTACCGAGAGGCAGCCACGCTGGGGTCGTTAAGAAATCTTCCAGCTGATCGATTCTGCAACCGGCTCTCCCGGTCCAAGTGACGCCCTGAGCAGACCCTCTGCGTGAAAACCGAGGTAAGTGACATTGCGTCGTCCGCTTAAAGCGGCGCTCATTCACATCTCGCGAATTCCGCCGTTCCGATTGGAGTTGCATAAGAACGGTGCCAAATTGGCAGAATTGCATCATCGGTGCCAATATTGTCGGCCACGCAGACGTCTCGGTCTCGACTCATTAAAAATGCAGCATCGGGAATCATTTTAAGGGTGCCTCGTTGGCTTCCGCCTTGTACCAACGCAATAGGACATGAGTGATTGTGTCCCATCTCGAGCTGACTCATTCCGGAGAAAAGGCTTTGGGGGGGGGGGGTAGAAACAGCAAAATGTCTGGGGAGTGATGCGATTACGGGTACAAGGTTTCTGTGGCGCCAACTCATGCCGCAGACACTGCCGGAAAACAACACGACACACAGAGAGTGGCAAAAAAAAAAAGGTACAAGGTGAAGGATTAGATGAGAAGGTGAGGGGCAGATGGTTTGGGTTTCTGTTTTTTTTGTTATCAGGTTTAAAGTGAGGAAAAAGGAATCGGCAAATTGCAGAGCAGTAGCGAGATTCAAACACGCAAACAGACCCGTTGAGTCAACATCAACAGCATCAAATCAACAAAAGCCCTTCGCTGATGCTTGCTGCCGTGATGAATGCCGCCAAATGTCATTTGTGTGAAACGCACGCAATCAAGCGCCATTCAGAGATGAATCCTCGGCGCAAATCGCACCTGGCATTCGTACTCGAGAACCGCGGCGGGTCAGCGGAAGGACGGACCGCTTCCTCCCCGGCGTCTTGCATTACATATTTATTTGAGCCGGGGCCACAGACCTCTTCGCATGGGCCCTCATTAGCCGTGGCTCCTGCACTTCCTCTCACCTCTGTGCTTCCTCGCGTGCTTGTTTTCTTTTGCGCCTTTTGAGGAACTTTAAAAGCAGAGATGCGAGTACAAGTGGGCGGAAGCTTCTATTTTGGCCAGTTAACACGTCAAAAGCCTGTTTAACTGGGGAAAAACAAACCGGGGGACCGCACGCTCCCAAACCGTTCACGAAAACCAACAGTGCAATAACCCCCTCAGATTCGGGTCAGCATGACTTGAACCAAGTGCTCTTGCTCATATTCTGAGGTCAGCCTGTTAGCACTACCAACACAAATAACAGGTGTCCGTCCATCACGTACAAACGCTGCATTGACTCATGACGTTTGCGCACCCGACGAGGCAAAAAGGCTTACTTTATCAAGCTATGCACCCCCCTGCCAAAAAAAAAACTATTTCCATTACAATCAAACAGCAAAGGACATGAGTGTCAGCCACCCGACACAAAAAGGCCTTTACAAGCCGAGATAGCGATGAAGAGTGGAGGGAGGAAATTGTGTGTGTGTGTGTGTGTGTGTGTGTGTGTGTGTTGTGTGTGTGTGTGTGTGTGTGTGTGTGTGTGTGTGTGTGTGTGGGGCCTGGGTAAGTAAGCGGTGGCAGGATTATAGCAAGCTCCCCAATCGTGGCTTTGGGCCATTCGCCGCTTCCTATGAAAAAAAATCCATTAGCATGTGAATGAACGGGCACACAGTGGATGGAGTTTTCCAAAGCCCGAACGCGCTGATCCGCAACCAGGTGAGCCGAGAACACACTGGAAGGGAGAATTTCAGTCGAGAAACGGTTGCTGCTCGCCGCGATTTTACCGAAGGTCGGACCTGTCAAGCTTTTAAGTGCCTTTAAGATTCTTTGACGCTGCGCGACTTCCTTTGGTTTGCATCCCTTAACCATTTGTTTCATTTACATAACGTCAGTTCCTGTTTACTGGCAACACGTGTGTTTTTTTCATTGCCGCTGTTCATGTTTTGATGCACGGGCGGTTCGCTTTTTTATTTTCAAAATCGATAAGCCTGTGATTATAAAGTGAGTTAAACCTGAGTCGTTTTAAATACGCCGCTCTGCTAAATTGGATTTTTGACATGGTGGCGTGCACAGCAAAACAAGAGCAGACGTTTTTTTTTTTCCTTTTTTTTTTCTCCCCCACAAGTGAGGCCTCGCCGCAGTCATAAAAGTAAAATAGACATTGGTCACACATCATTGCGCCAAAATGCACTCTCAGGCACAATGGCGGGGTTTAGCGCCGACACATCGGGAGGCGGGAGGACTTACCTCTCTTTGCATCACCAGCTCTTTGGTGAACAGCATGGCCTCGTCGCTAAAAGGCTCCGCCACCTGCATGCCCCCGGGGGTGTTCCTGGAACTGCGTGGACACTCGATACCTGAGTCACACACACACAACAAAACCAGCGTTACAACACAAATTTTGGGAGACATCGGGGACCGATATTTGACATCTCTATGATCACTGCGAGATTAAATGCCGCCTTCATTTGCTACAAGCAGACTTCTGCCTATTTTTAGGTGCGATGTGAATAAAGTCTGTCGGGATGATTCAGAGGTTACATGGTTTCCAAAGTTTTGGAAAGGCAGCCTTCGGAGATTACACGCCGACGACAATGTATCCGGCCGAGAGGAAACGTGCACCTACAAACTATGAAATAATCATGACGCAAGATCACATCCCCGAGTCTCACGATGCTTGAATTAATCATCGCAACATTGGCAAGCACTTTGCGTCGTACCGGAGTACGCGGCGACGTTCCTGAATCTCGGTTCCCGTCGACTTAAGTGACTTTGCGTTCTCGCCGCATTAAACTCGACAAAATGACTTGTCGGTGACTCAAAAGGTTCTGCCAACGCCGGAGTGCTGCGGACGGGACGGGGCCATGTTGTGTTTGAATTTGTGTCAAAACGAGTCAAGGTATTGAGCTGTAACAAGGCCTGTATCGTGCCTTCTCCCAAATTCTTTTCACAACTGAAATTTGTAAGCTTGTCTTCGGCTCGCCTCTTGGGTATTTCTCAACTTTGCAGAATGTCCGGATCAATATTACCTTTCGTCCTTTCATCAGATTCAAACTCCTTTTGTGAAAGTGAAGTGAAAGCCTGCCAGGTTCACTATGTAATTAAGACAGGGGGGGCGGCCAAGGCGGGCAGCCAAAAAAAAAACGCAGGACGGGCAGCAACGTGGCGACTTTATGGAGTGCACCAACTTAAGTGGCCAGGATTTTTTTGTTGTTGTTGTTGTTGTTAATAGCATAAAAGAAGACGCCCTCCCATGCTCGTACAACTTGCGAGGCCTGGATTCAGAGCAAGATATTTTCAACATAGCTGTCCCTAAGGGCTAGCAATGTAAGCTCCTCCCCACAGAACACCCGGTAGCCTCGGTGCCGGTGCTTATGTAACTCCCACCTGCCACCGAGAAGAACATCTGGCCCAATCCTCTCAACCAATCCCCAAATTCCTACATACCCACTTGGGCTAGGACAAGTGATGAGGGACAAGCACACTTTGAATATTGAAAAAAGATGGCCGACAAACACATCACCAACATGAACGAGGTGCGGTTCGCTTCTGTGATCTCGGTAAAGCATACTGCAGAGAAGAAAGGCACGTAACACGTGGCGCGTGAAGTCGGCTTTTGCTGTTGCCGTGGTAATGGTCAGAAACGGCCAGAGTGAAGGTGCGAGCGGTTTGGGAGCGATGACGAAAATAAAAATAAAATAGACAAATAGCTCTAAGCGGCATGCTTGTGCGCTGGCGTCATGCTGACGCAGTAAATCCTGGCTGATGGCTGTCTCATCCTTTTTGACAGATTGCTGCTCGACGTACCTTTCAAAGCGCCCGTCACCTGCCGCGGCCTCCCCCCTCAAACAAACAGACCCCCGCCCCCCCACCCCCAAAATGCCCGGTGAAAAGATTCAAGCGGCCTTCACAATTGACGTACTTCAGCACGTCAGCTGTGCTTCCCTTTACCACGGCGAGCTTTGCTTTTATCTGCTGGCCTGTCCTCTCTGCTTTAGAGCTTCACCGTTTTCATTTCATCGACGCTCGGAATTGGCCCTTCCTGTGTGAACCCCCCCGATCAGAACTTCGCGGAGCCTTTCAACAGCGGAGAAGAAAAGCGAGGTTGATTTCACATCCAGTCACTCCCGACTTGAAACAGCAGCTTCATGTTCCGCAATCGCACACTTTGAGGTGCCACCGTGTGTGTGTGTGGGGGGGGATATAAAGAAGTTAGCGTCTTCAAACACGAGTCACCACCAATCAGTTCGAGGTCTCTGCATCGCTTCGACAGTCTCCCACGGCATCGTTAAAGAATGCTTTAAAAAAAAAAAAAACATTTGGCATTGACTGATTATAGTACGAAAGGAACATGGCTAATGAAAAAATATGACTAATGCAGTCGTGTTTTGACAGCAGCCCGCTGCGAATACATCGATATGATGCAGAAACTTCAAAGAGTAGGGGGAGGGGGGGCGCAAGTTGACATTTCGCCTTAAAAATAAATGAACGGGGCATTAATGGCTGCGCGCAGAGGTGTCAAGACGCTAATGGGAATGCAAGCTAAAAATAAACAGAACAGCAAAGAGGTTCATTTGTAGCACTCTGGGCTAATCTGCGCTAATGTGTATATTAAAGACAATGCGTGTTGTCTCATTTCTTCAATCGACTTTCATGCCCCGGCAGGCTTCTTAGCATTTTGCTAATAACCTCTGCTTTCATATCAAATGCAAAGTACGCGCGTATACTAAGCGGGTCTGATTAGGAGAAGATGTCAAACGATCCTTGCGTGCAGATTTCTTATTGGCGAGGGTCTCGCCATTTCATCTTGCGGCAGGCAGTGCACAAAATGTAATTAAAAAACTATCAGCGGCTCGCAAAGACAATCAGTAGCAAATGACAAAAGTAATTAATACATCCGCGACACGGTCACGCGCAATTAGGCCAAACGGCGGATGTTGGCCCGGAAATGTGCGCTGTTTCTTCGAGTGGAAACTTTATTGCAAAAAAAAAAAAAAAAAAAAACATTGAGCGTCAATCTCGCAAAGCTGAAGCGCTAAGTAAACGCCGGAAAGGAGAGAGGCGCAACTCACGGCGCAAATATAGCGACGGCTAGCTGCTATAGCGACGTGTCAATGCGACGTACAGTCAGCAAGTGGACGAGTTATCTGCCATCTGCTTTTTTTTTTTTTTTTTTTTTTACCCCCTTCAGAATCCTTCCCTCGACTTCACACCGCTCCCTTCCCACGCACACGCCAGGTACAGCGGTGTGCATCGATGGCTGTGAAAGGTCAAAAGCAGCTTTTACATCCAGAGCGCAGTGGCTTTAATTGGGTACATTTTCAATGTGTCCTTGGATCCACATTTTTTTTTTTTTTCTCTGAAGCTAGGTTTGGTTTTCGGCGAAATTTCCTGCTTAACTCTTGCGCGTGCGCGCGTACGTCGACGGCAGGTTTGTGTGTACGTACCGGCGAGAAGGAAGGTGATGAGGCAAGTCTCTTTGGGCATGTACAGCTTGAGGCGGGAGCCGCTGAAGACGTACTCGACCACCGCCTCCGAGCGTCCGGCCCGCTGCAGGAAGGGCAGGAACTGCTTGGCTTTCTGCGTGTCCTGGCGGACAGAGGGAAACAAGACGGGGATTGAGATGAAGAGTAAGTACGCCGGTTTATAGGGGTGACGAAAGGTGTAAGCAATATTGGATTTTGAAGTCCATTTGAGCAACAAACAAAGCAAAAACAATCTAGTTTGTTGCCAGAAGTAATAAATGGAGAGCGTTTTTTTCCAACTTTTTATCAAAAGCAAGCGCAATAGACAAGACGGACGACATTGGCAACGACGGGGGATGTGCTGGCTTTTTTTTTTTGTGTTCCCCCAGACATCTTTAAATCTTAGTCAAGCCTAATGAAGTCGACTTCTCAGTGACACGTCTGGAAGCTCATGCAATCCAAAGTAATTCCCAATTCTGCCTCTATCTCAGTCTGCAACAGTGACTCACATGGCCTGTTTTTTTTTTTTGCAATGCCCGGGCCAAAATTACACGGGGGGTGGGGGGGGGGGTCATGTCTTTTCATGCAGGGCAGGCAAGAGGGGCTAGAATCATAATAATATGTGCCTACTGCAAGCAAAAAGCATGTAGGCACAACAGACCGTTGAGTCACAGCCCGGTGGACTCAGGTTTTTGGTGCGTGCATGTGTGTGTGTGTGTGTGTGTATACTGTAGAGTGGCCAAGGGAGTGGGAGCAAAGGCTCCGAGGCAAGGATGACGGAGTTCAAACGAGTAATAAACGCTCTCCACTGTCCTCCACTTCGTTGCCATGTTATGACATCATCACATAGCGACTGCAGCTAGCGCAAGTCAGGTCAGGCTGTAGAAGTTGCCGCAGCTCCCGGGTGGGAGCGCAGCTAAGGAGTCCCCCACCGCCCTGCTTGTTGAACTGCACCCACCGCGATCCAAATCAGCCGCTCGAGTGGGAGCCGTGGGAGCCGAGCGATGCGAGCGCGGCTCCTGTTCACGCCGACACAAGCGCTGCGGCGCGTGGGAGGGGGACGCAGCCTAGCTCAGCACATGATAGGGTAGATCATTACGCAACCTTTAGGAGGTACGAGGTGAGTCAAGTGCTTTCTCCACTCGGCTGAGTCTCACACATTTGGCGTGCACAAAGCATGCCGGCTCTATTTGTGGACGCCACCCACTACGTGTATATAATCTCTGAGATGATGTATGGGCAAAGAGTGTATTTCTGCCCGTGTGGGCGTGTAGAGATGCAAAGAAGGGGAGGTGGATTTGTAGTGGTTGTTATTTTTGTCTGTTTATTAAGCTGCTGAAATAAGAAATATCGCAAAGAGCTGCTGTAGGCCACAACTCACGCCCAGATGCTCACTCGCTCAGCCAGGCCCGTCGAAAGCACGCATCCAACACACAAATACTATTGGACGCACATTTGACATGACAAAGAAAAAAATTCGAATACATTTTGTCACGAATTTGCTTTATGGAACAGATTCAACTCTGAAGTCAAGGTACCGCAGTGCTTTGGTCTTCCATTATTAAAGCTAATTAACTATCGACGGCCGCAATTACTCAAGGCACACCGACTGAGCTTAAGTTGTGTTGGCCGCACTGTTCTCGCTCCGTCAGCATCGCGTTCCCCCTGTCATGTCATTTGCAACGGAATCCAAGTGTGCGCCGAATAAATCGGGCAAAAATACAGCTGAAGTAACCAAACTTGTCCAAAAAGACAAGAGTCTAATTAATTTGCCCAAATGTCTCTCGAGTGGCCGCGAGTGCGATGTACGAGCGCGCTCGAGTGAGGGAGACAATGAAGCGCTAATGTTCCCGAAGTTCACTGTAGAGTCTTTGGCGGCCGGGACTATTCAAGTGCTTCGTTAAAATGTGTAAGTGTTGCCTCGGTGACATGTGTCGAGGCATAATGGCCACTCCAGTAAGTGTGAATTTTAATAAGAGAGGTTTAATAAGACGAGTTTTGTGGTGGTCGTGTGGGACTTTTTCATCGGTGTGGATTGGAAGATGGATAACAAACTGGAGGATTATTGACTTGCTGCATTAGAGGAAATTAAAGGCAAGCTAAAGCGCCATGAAATCTAGATCTGGATCACGACTTTCATTTTTGAGGCGCCGTAATGCTGCACGGCCCTCGCAGAATTGAGCCAAGAGGCGGGAGGAGTTTGACAACACTTTCCCGCATTTAACAGTTTGGTGTGCTCAAGCTAAAAATATCAAATATAAAATAACCGCGTCCCTGTTCTGTGGCAGGCCTCCGTTTATTTTCGAGAGCGCGCATTAATTGTCGTCATTATTGCATACTGTGTTCTGGATTGCCCTCCGCCAACGCTACCCTATCATCGGGTCGGGCAAATGTGAACAGCTGCAGCGACGCACACTGGGAGCTAATAAGAGACTTCCCGACTTCCTGACAGCCAGACTGTCGATTTTGGGGCATTGTTTTTTTTGGGTTTTTTTTTGGGGGGGGGGGGGTGCAATCACTGTGACGTTCAGGAAGACCTACCCCAGAGATATCTGCCACTCTGTGAATGGGAACCTCCTTCTTGCTGTGCAGCCCCTTCCCGTTCTTGATGGCCCTGCAATCAAAGCAGCAAAATCATGAAGCCGACATGTCCACAACCAAAGGGGGTCATTTTCTTAAACGTCTACTTTTTTGCCCCCCCCAAGGGTTTTAGCACCCCTTAACCGGAAGCGCAGGCTAATTTTAAACAGTGACTCCTCTTGGTGTCTTTAATTTATCTCCGTGCCTTTTCCAGAGATGGCTTTCGAGTATTATGGGTTCGACAAATAGGGGATTAAGGTGTTTGTTTACTCAACTGCAGATGAGGCGGCCTGTCTCGTCAATGGAAAGGGGGGTTTCTAAACACCATGAACACCATGGGACTTGGAAAATAAATTTAAGGGCCACCGTAGACCGCATGATGCTTCTGAATCCGACTCGGACCCTCCCGACAGTTGGCCGCTCAACCCCGCGACGTTCAGAGCGCAGGGCCCGGAAGACGCATAAAGATCGCGGCTTTGGGTCTCCGTAGCCTCTTGATTGAACTGCCATTCGGGCTTAAGCTTTTGCAGTCTCAAAACGGCGTTTCGAGAACGAGGCCGTGTGTCGCCGTTGAGTTTTGACAATAATGATGGGCGCTATATAAAAAGCCCCGAGAGCAGGAGAACGATAGGCGCCTACCACTTTTGCTCTTATGCGCTGCACACCATCTATATTAAGTGTGTTTCATCTCCGGCGGGGAGAGAGGGGAGGTTCCTTGAAGGCACTAAAAATACAAGCAAGCCTAAAAAACAGAAACCTCGCAGCAGCTCTAATAAGACCCCCGCTGGGGGAGGGAGAGATTAAGGGGGAGTGGGAAAAGGGAAGGCCAAAGAAGGACAGAAAAGCAAGGTGCGAGAAGAGGGAAAAGGAAGGGAAGTAGCAGAAGCGAGAGAGAGAGAGAGAGAGAGAGAGAGAGAGAGAGAGAGAGGAAAAAACGGACTATAAAAGGAAGCTGCATCTGCTCTACCTATAGCTAGATCTTAATCTACGGCACAATAATAAAGCTGGAACTAAATCTCCCCACTGCACCTCCATATAATTATATTCATAGCAGCTGTATAAAGGGGAGCCGGCATTCGGGTACGAGTGTGTGTTTTGAGTTATACTGTTCCCGGGGTAAAAAAAATATATATATATATAAGGTTGTGACATGCGGCTAAAATAAAACACAGAAAAGCCGCTTTGGATTGGGGGTGTGTCCTCAATCGATTTCATTCGAGATCCCGACTGTCAAGGACACACGATGAGATTGTTTGTACGAGCGATTCGCGAGCGAATGCGCAGGCTGACGGTTTGTCGCTCACCGCGCCTCCGCAGCCAGCAGCTCGTCGTAGTGCGAGGAGCGCTGGTCGTCATCCTGTCGGTACCTGATGACCGTAGCCAGGCCTTTGCTGACCAGAGCCTCTGCAATGTTACTGTGGGCAAGATTTTGACATGAAGAAAAAGAAAATGGCGGCAAGATCCGGTAACGCATTCAAAATGGTGTTCTCATGCCATAAACTCGTGCTGGTGGATGACTTACATGCCACCAATGGTGACTGTGGCACAGGTGCGCTCCGAGAAGGCCGGGGTGCTTTCGCCTGGGCCGGTTGCTGCTCTGATGTAGTCCACCGTCACGTTGACCTGAAAAAAATATAATAATAAATTGTATAAATGAAATATTCAACTAAAATGTACCCAAAGGAAGCACAAGTTAAAATCATCGTAATTGGTTTTCTCCGTCGTCTTTTTCACACCGTCACATGGACCCAAAGCGTTGCAAAGTATAAAACGAAGCAATTAATGGGGAGGCGGGAGGGGGTGTTCTCAAGGTCACCCCAGTCAGTGTGCATCATGTCAGGCATGAGCGCAGACCTCCCAAGAGGATGAGCACGGGGGGATGTGTGGGCACAAGAACACACAGAGCGGAGAACCCGCATGACTCGGCGCCGTGTTCTCCGCACCAACTCCCCGGAGACCAATTCAAACGCCCCCGAGATGCGCTTTTGTCACATGACTCGTGCGGGGAGCTTTCGCTACGTGGTACAAAGTTAGGCGCTCGGCAGAAAGGGGGGGAAGGGTGGAGTGTAATGGTGCACAAAACGTAAGTTGTTTTTTCAAATGAAAAGGCGCAACGGGACTGATCAAAAGATGATCATTGAAATAGTTTGATGCCGACCCGGTGGAATCGTAATTAAGACGTCAGCTTGAGCGCGGACAGGCAGTGATCATCCTGTGTTTATTTTAATTTAGTACTAATTTAATTTTTTTTTTTTTTTTTTAAAGGTTTGTTTTTTGTCTTTTCTGTTAAGTTCCACTGTGGTGTCACTAATGAAATTTCTCTTCAGTGGAGCACGGCAGCTCATGCCGCAGTAATGAACTCATTATGCTTCACTTTGGACCTTGGCTGATGGGTATGCAAGGTATTAAAAAAAATAAATAAAAGAGGGGGGGGGGGCAACCATGAGGGTCGCTTGTGCAATCGTGCCTTTTCACCGATAAAATCCTGACAAGCCCTCGGGTGACTAAAATAACATCATTTAGTGCTTGCGTGTGAAAAACAGCCTCCGGACCGGCGGCCATTGCGAGGGCATGCAAATAAGCCGCCCGTCTTCTTTTCACGTCATAAATTCATTTAACCTCGCTGGCCCTGCGGACATCCTCCGATGCCTCGTAGCCCAAACATGATACGCGCTTTCATGAGAGTCGCATGAAAATGTGAGGCAATTAAAACAAAAAGCTTTCGATGTTGTGTCCGTGCTTGGCTTTGAATTTTAATGGCCGCACGTGGCCGGGCATGTATAATTGAAAGGGGGGTGAGGGGGGGGTTACAAAAAACAAACAAACAAAGATCTTTTAATGAGGGATGCATATAATGAGGTAATTAAAAAGGAGGGTGCAAATGAGAAAAACTTGCGACGCGTATTACGAGCCAAATATGATGCGGGATACAAGTGGAAAAAGTGGCACATTCGCTACGCTAGCTGTCTGTTAAACAGGATCTGAAAACAAATCATCTTCTGTTCACTTGCTCATTTAGCAAGAGGCGGGGGGCAAAATCAACAATGGAACGGGATGTGTGAATTCATCGCGCGATGGGGATCGTGAACATGTTCGGGTTGAATGTAACTTCAAGCGGTCCCCTTAAAATCATCTTTCAAGTGCATCCGCATCTTAGCGGACGCGGCGCTAGCAGTGCTAATGCGCGAGCAGCTGCACATAACAGGAGCCACTTTTGAGCCCGCAGGATTATCCGAATGTGCTCAAGCCTGATAAGTGGCTTAATGCAACATCTTCATTGGACTATTTTTTTTTTTTTTGCTGCTGCTGTTGCTGAGGCTGAGACCCAGGCATACACAACAAGCACTTATAACGTTAGCCAAATGGATTGTGCAATGATATATATATTAACTGTCAGAATTGTATGACAACACGTGTGGCCATTTGTTGCCCCGAATTTGTCCGGAAAAAAAGTTTCTGAAACACAGAAAGTGACTGACTGACGTGGGTTTGGTGATTACCACCACTTTAGGCTTCATGGTGAATTCACTTTCCGTTGGAGATGCTGTGTTGGAAGTAAGTCGCACCAAAAGTGGTCCACTTTGGAGGGTTCCACTGTGCTTATGAAAGAGAAAATATACTAATCGTCGTCAGAAATCAAACCTGGGCCACACATGGCTGAAAGGAAAATTGAATATGCAAATGACACGTTACTGATAAGAGATGAAAATCACGGCAGTTCCCTTTCAGGGATGATGAATAGCAGCTTTAATGGCGAGCGAGCGGCGCCTTTATTCTGCTGAAGCCGAGCCCGCGCGGCGTCGTGGCTTTGAGCTTTAGCGGGCCGCTACTCGTGCTTTTAATGCTGAGTAATTTCCCGCGGGGGGGTTGCGGAGCTTGTTTTCTCCCGTGCTGCACTCTGAGCTTAAGACAGGTAATACGACAAACGGGGGAAATGTGCCAAGTCAACCTTGTGACTGGACAAGATGTGCCTGCTGTTGATTTTGCGCCTCGGAAGGTGACTCTCACGGTACGCGAATAGGTCAAAGCTAATTATCTTTGGCTTTAAAAATAGCTTGGGCGCAGAGCCGTTCTGTCGCCGACTAATGCCGCTGCGCGAAGCTTAGCGCTTCAGAGACGGCGTGACGGCAAGTGGGTCGACTCAACTCCCCAAAACGCAAAGCGGCGCGCGCGCGCTCCCACCTCCGCCCGACACAACTCCCAAGTAGGTCAAGGTAGCGCAGATGAACATGAAAGCCTCCGGGGGTTAAGTCGTTACGCTGGAAAATAAACACGCTCCCAAAAGCGGGCGAGTGATGGTTTAATCCAAACTAATTCTTTCCCGCTTGCCAAGGCCACCGAGGAGAGGCTGCCACCTTCAAAAAGATTCTTTTTTTTGTGTTGTTTTTACACTACACAGAATTCTACTTGAAACAATGCTGACAGCCTCATCGTTCTCGTCTAAATGGTCCCATTTCCACAAGTCCGTTTTAATGACGATGACTAAAAAAGAGGATGGGATTGGATACGAATGATCAAAGTTAACTCATGTGGCAGTTTCTGGAAGATAAACGGCGGTGCCATGCGGGTGTTGGAGCACTGCTGTTCAAACAGCGGTGGGTGCGTATGCCCGGGACTCAAGTGCTCTTTAGCTCAGTGGTGGCGGCGGCGTGCTGGGGAGTAAATGACAGCCCCGCCCCCCCCCCGAGGTCTAAGGGCCCGGCAGATCAATAGACACAAGGGGGGCAAATCAACACGGCTTGTTTGAAAGAACGCGCCAGGGCCAATGGCGAGTCCCGCGGTTTCCACCGAGCTACGAGTACTTATGATTAACACAACTACCTGATTGCGACTTTCAGACTTGAGAAGGGGGGGGGGGGTAGCACTGCGAGTCACTGTTTGGAGTGAATGTGTTTTTTTTTTTTTTTCATTTACAAAAGGACAGCAACCGCCAAATTGGGGTGCGAGCACCCTTGAGGGGGAGCGCGAGATTAAAAGTGTAATAGCAGACCGGTACAAAGATTACAAAACTGGCAGAACACGGTGGCGAAATAAAGAGTAAATAATCGGATGCTACTGAAACGGAGCGGCGCACCGGCTATTTGTGGAGGGGGGTGGGGAGTTTGTGAAAGTCGGTTGTAGAAAGTCATGCACGGACACAAATGAGTGGTAAATCCATGGCAGGGATTATCCAACTGTGGTGCGAAAGGCCTCTTGGGTGGTGCGCTTGCGGTTTCGGGTTGGAAGGGAGGGTAAAGCGTAACATTTTTGGACGAAGGGAATACGCGAGTCAGTTAAAACGGCTTTTCCGGGACATGGATTTCAAAACGGCGGTTGGAGCGTCCTCCGGGGGTGCGTGGGAGTCGAAGAGAAATAGTGGCAGTATAAAAATGACATTTAGAAGCCAAACCCACTGAAAGGGGGAATATTGATCAGTGGCACACAAAGACCGACGGTACACCAACAAAGAGGTGCGTGAGAAACTGGTGGGGTGGGCCCGCCGTGTCGTGTTGTTTGGGTGTGCGTGGCTGACAAGTTTTGGGGAAGGCTGTTCTCGGAAGTCACAAAGGGCAATCATGAGTCAACCAGAACACACTGCGGCGCAAGCTCCCCCACAGGGGGTGCGTGGGTGTAAAACTGCTTTGGGGGAAATTGATTGTGTGTGTGGGGGGGGGG